AGAGAGAGAGAGAGAGAGAGAGAGAGAGAGAGAGAGAGAGAGAGAGAACACTGTGGTAGCTGTTAATAGTCCACAGCACGCTGCTGAATAACAGACAATACAATAGGCAAAGAAGTCAGGGGTGAAAAGTTAAAAAACGGTATGGAAGCAGAGAACATGAGAAGCAGGAGAGGTTAAAAATATCTTAAAAAGAAACATGGCACCTGAGATCTCAAAAACAGAAGGTATGGTCACCCAGTATGACAGCTACACTTGTCAAGTCTAGCCACAAGGAAACAGCACCCAGGAAGGACATGGCACAGCTGGCTCTCAGGGCAGGAAGGGAAGGTGTAGAAGAGTGAGAGAGGAGGGACATTGGGTTTGACCTCCTCATTGTGGCTTGAACATGAAATTACCCCCTGGGCTTGTATATTTGAACATTTGGCTTCTAATTCATAGCATTGTTTTTGCAAGATTGTGGAACCTTTAATAACCTACCGGAGGAAGCAGGTCACTGCTCCAGCCCGGAGGTTTAATCCCATCATTACTTCCTGTCTACTCTGTGCCTCTTGTTCCCACCACCATGTCTTCCTCGTCATGATGGACTGCATCCCCCTATAACTATATGTCCAAACAAGCCCTCCTTCCTTAAGTGTCTTGTCATGTCTTTGAGCACAGCAACAGGAAACACAACTAATGAGCTCCTTCTACAAAAGGGTCTACAATAGGAAACACAACTAATGTGCTCTTTTACAAAGAGCCACAACAGGAAACAACTAATGCACTCCTTTAAAGAGCTGTAAAAGTGTATAATCTGGCAAGCCCCATGATTAAATGTGAACTGGAGGTCTCTGATGATGTCAGAGAGGCAAGGGTGAGCGGCTGGGCTGGGGCTTTTCTCCAACATCTAGACTAGATTCTGGGGTTTGCACTCTGCAGGAATGTACTGGAGGTAAGAAGTACAACAGGGACAATAGGTAGTGAGTATTCAAACCTTAATGGCCAGCTATACTTAACCTCCTGAAGACCTCACTGTAAGCCAATACATTACTAAGAATATGGGCTCATAACCCTTCCATAAGAAACACATTCTCAAGTCAAAACACATGGCCGTGAATCAAAAGGAGATGTTGCTGTATTAAGACAGGAAGTCCCTCTGAGACATGAGATAGTGCTATCTTTGAAACAACCCTGGAAACTTCATATGAGTATGGAGAATTATTTAAAAACTCAAAGCAGAGAAAAGACAATTAAGGTCTTCTTGTTCAATTCTACAGGACAAAATTATCTCAGATGAGCAGGTGTATAAAACTAAAGCCGATAACTGGCAAAATTAGAACTGTAATCCAGGGCTCTAGTCTCTGGTTCAGAGATCTCAGAGAGTTAGATCTGACTCTGAACAGGAGAGGCCTGGTCATGAGCCATAGGAGGCTGTACTCACCATTGTTGTACACTGCTCATTACTGAAATCAGAAAGACTCTAACTCCAGCTTCTAGGATGTTTTCCAAATGCCATAAAGCCTGGGGTTGGCTGTGACCCTGGAGCTTACGGAACCACAGTATCTGTTGAACACTGACAACATCATAATTGAAGATACATGCATTAAGGAGTATCTCCTGGTCAACCATCTTTCCCAATATTTTCATTTTGTTGTATGAAGGTACCCAAAGGCTTCATGAATTAGTGCATGTGTTGAAACAATGTGAACTCCAGTTGAAGTACAGACAAAATAATTGTACATACAAATCCCAACCACCATTTAAAGAGGATCTCTAATAAAATTCTTCTTATACAGGACAGAAGTTAAGAAAAAAAGGAATTTAGTTTTGGTTTATCAAACACAGGGTGAAGTTTGATTTCTGTTCGCAGTCAGGAAGTGAAGCACTTCACTTTAATCCAGTAGCATGCTAATAAAATAATGTAAGTAGAAAATGTTGAAAATAGTTAAGAAACACTGTCAGATATATATCAGAAAATTATATACCATGCAAAGTGTAAGTTAAGGCTTAATGATATAGGTATGACTATGAAAAAACACAGAGGAAGAAGCCAGGTGGGCCCAGCATCCGTCAGTCTGGAAGACTACTGTAACCATTCCTGAGTGCTATGCTAATGGAAATAGTTTCACAGACTGGAAGATAGTTAAGAGGAATACTTGTAAAGTGCACCCGCAGCACACTACATTCTTAACACTAATGTTGCTTTGTTGCTACTTGTTATTTAAAAACAATAAAATTAGCAATAGCTGAGGTACCATGGCAAAGAGTGCAAACTCATAAAACAGAAGATGCTCGAATTCTTGGACAAGGCTGTAAAGCCCATTGAGAATATCATAGAAATCATTCCGTGTCAGAGAGTCTAAATTATTCCAATGAGATGCAAAGGTAGACATATAAGAAAGTTCCCTACCACGGAAGCTTGGATTCCCACACTTAGTGGAGAAGAGTATGAAGGAATGTTCTGATAGGTCAGAGTGCTTTTGAACATGCCTACCAGGTTTTCAGAAGTCAGCTGATTTAACAGAACCCTCTAGATGTTCCTAGAAATGACATTTGCATTCCCTTCTTTATTTAATTTGTCATGGAGCTTTTGATAGACCTGCTCAGCCAGGAAGGGCCTCTCCTAACACCCACTCCAAAAGCTACTACTAAACAGAGCTCCATGCAAAGTGAGCTACTTCCCTACACAGGAGACTGAGGCCAGGCAGACTCATCACAAATACTGGGAAAATAAACCGTGTGCCATGCGGTGCATATACTGAAACTAATTCCCAGTCCCCAACTGGTGGTCCAATCACAAAACCAACCTTATCTATCTATGGTTACTGTTACTGTAGCCTGGATACAATGCATGCATATTTTTGTCAAAATGTGTGTAGTTCCTCAAGGAAAAAAATAAGTTAAAAGGTAGATGTTGATGGTTTAAAAAACAGAAAAAAAAAAAAAGCAAGGAACATGTGGAATTGTGAGGGATTTTTATGGATTTTCTTGTCTAAGCTTCATGATTTTATTTTAGTGATCATTCTCATTATTATTTTTACCCTGACAATGGTAACAATGTATCAAGTAATACTAAATTTAACACAAATAAAGCACAGATACTAAGGGTTACAAGAACTGAAACAGGAGTTCAGAGACCTGATCCAAATATATAAAAGTGTAGAATGTCAAATGCACACAAATAGGTATTATCACCTACTACTCCTGCGACCAGCAAGCTAACACAGTGAGGACTGTTTGTCTAAATTACATCTACCATCATCTACTACTCCTGTGATCAGCAAGCTAACACAGTGAGAATTGTTTGTCTAAATTACATCTACCATCTTCTTATACTTTTAAGAGGCATAGGCTTCCTTTTCAATATAAAATTTATATAACCATTAAATAATTACAGAATCTAACTACAGGTGATAGCAGTAATGATTGGTTAGTATATTTAAATTTTCCCCTTTAACTGTTACATCTATTGAGTAGCAGGTAAATTTTTTATTTTAGTTCAGATGAAACTAAATACCAAAATGAAATTACCAAAACAATCTAAAATGCACATATCTTGATCATGGGTATTAGTTTATAGTTTTATCTTTTTTCAATTTCACTTTAACATTAGCATGTCAATTTCAAAATGGTGGCAGCGCCACACAGCTGTAATCCTAGCACCTAGGAAGCAGAGGCAAGAGGATCTAGAACTCAAGGCAGCCTTGGCTACATAGTGAGTTCAAGGCCAAACTCATACAGAAGGCCAGAGAAATTTTATCATCTGGAATTTTCACTGAGTTTTTTGTTCAACGTAGCCAAGAAGAGACTAGGAAAAAAACAGTAAGGACACTGTGGTCCACACAGAGGTCAGTTAACACCTCTATAGACAAGATATAGCTCATCGCTATCATGTAAGTAAAATATGGCAGCTCAGCTCCTCTGAGGTCAGTGGTTCTCACCCTTTCTACTGCCTTGACCCTTTAACACAGTCATGGTGAACCCCAACCAAGAAGTTATTTTCACTGCTACTTTATAACTGTAATTTTCTCCTGTTGTGAATCATAATGTAAATACCTGTGTTTTCTGACGATCTTAGACGACCCCTGTGCAAGGGCTCATAACCCACAGGTTGAGAACCATCACTCTGAGGAGGATTTGATCAGTGTTTGCTTTGAAGCCATTGTTATTTATTTGTACATGCTTCTGTAGGAGTGAATGCCATGTGTGAGTCACTGTCTGCAGAGGCCAGAGGATGGCGTGTGAGCCCCTGGAGCTGAGTTACAGGCAGCTGTGAGCTGTTGGACAAGGGTACTGGAAACTGAACCCAGGTCCTTTGGAAGAACAGAACGGGTTCGTAACTGCCAAGCCACCTGTCCAGTCCTCTTAATAAGAGATAATTTAGACTCTGAGTGCTTCCGTACTTCACCCCAGCACTCAGTGATGAGCCTCAATCTTTCCCATCCCCCTTGAAGCCAGCTTTGAATTGCTCCTTTGTAAAATGCATGCTTAATGCAGTCATTACCTCCAGAGAGTCACCTTCACAGTCTCCTTCCTCTGTGCCTCTCCCCTTCTCTTCAGTGATGGTATTCACCATTTCAAAAAACCTACAATGAGAGGTGGTGTTCATAGCGCACGTAATGTTAAGTGCACACATTTGTGCACTGCTCAGTAAACAATATCTTAGGTTGACAATATCTTAGGTGGAAAATTCATTTGGACACTAAACCCACTGAACACCCTGCCTCAGTCCGGCCTGCCTCCGGCATGATGAGAGCTTTGATATCAGTCAATAACTGGGCAGCTGTGGAACACAGCTAATTTATGAAGAATCAAATAGTCCATAGATCTTAGTGAATACGGTACCTGTGTCTAACTAGTCCAGCACAGAATAGTGTGTTGGTTGGCCACCCGCTGAGGAGCTGCGGGAAGTGAGGTCTTTGGTAAATGAATAGCACACTCTCAGCTTTTGCTCAAGGATCCTAAGTCCAACTACTGTACATAAATATATCCCAAATTGACTTCAGAGCAAAAATTGAGAACCAAGAGCTGTTAGGCAAATAAACCATCAGGATCAGTGCTGTGTGTGTTGGGCATTGTGAGGTGTGGGGGTGGGAATGTGAAAAGAAATCTCAGGTTGATAGGGTTTTCTAGACATTTTCTAGAAGTTTCTGACTGCAAATAATAGTATATATAACATGGAACTGGAAAGTGCTGAGAATGTGCACTGTGGGACCAACATTACTGGTATCTGTGTGACCTTAGGCAAACTCGTCCATCTCTCTGGGTGCATAATTGTAAAGAAGAGGAAAATTGTTAAGCAGGTTTCTTGGACTGGAAGATAGTGGAAGATAATATACAGCACACTGCCTTCATAAATGTCAATGTTGCTTTGTTGCTACGATTGTTATTTAAAAATAACAAAATAACCATATCCTGGACATTCCAGAATCTCTAGCATCTGTATGCAAATTTGATCTGTTACTACATCTTTTGCCTGACCAGTCCAATATTATACATACAGATCCTATAAGTACCGTCTAAAACGCTGATGTGACTAGGGCCACCTCTTTTGATGGCAGTTTTTAAACGCTAAGTTTTATTTCTGAGGCTAGTTTCAGTGCTAAGCAAGGTATCTGAGAAATAAATTTGTTCTGTGCCCTCTGAGTGAACGTGAGGCTATTGATTCACATATAATGTATGGGAAGTACGGTATACAAGGCTGCTGGTTTCATGGGCAGCTCTATGCAAGACCACATGGGTAGAACAGGTTATCATGTGATCAGTTTTCCTATACAACTCAGAAAGTATTTCTGTGCCTTATTTTATCTGTCCACCCATTCAACAAATATTCATTGAATACTTAGGGCCCCAAACTGCTCTGCCTAATGGAAAGCAATGAACAGGGCTATTCTGGAGTTTACAACCTATTTACAGAGTTCCCTTGAGCCTACTTTCTTTTGTTATTGAAACGATTTTTCATACAACAGATTTTTATTTGATCATGTTTTCCTTCTCCCCCAATTCTCCCTCCCTCTCCAGTCCAAGACAGACAAGGCTGGGCTTGAACTCACAAATCTGACTACTTCTGCCTGCCAAGTGCTGGGATTAACAGTGTGTGCCACCATGCCTGGCTCTCCTCTCCCAGTTCTTATCCTCCATTCCTGGTGAGCAGTTTTTAGATGTCAATGCAATGAAAGCAAAACAAAATCCCAAGATTAACTGGGATAATAATCACCTTGGAGCAAGGTTATATTTCCTGATGAGTTGGAAACAAGGAGGGAATGTAAGCAAAAGAACTCTAAAACACAGCTTTAAAGTTAAATGTTAATGCCCAAGGTGAAGACACACATCGGCCACTGAGGAATATCTTTCCAGAATGATCATCTTAGTAGGACATATGACAGGGATGGCAGCCTACTCTATATATCAAGAGCATGGATACGGACTTGCATGTGTCTGGGTCAAGGCCCCAGTTTTATCCTTATTGGCCGTATGGTTTTAAGGTGGTTACCTCTCAAAAAGTTTTATTTCTTTCCTTCTTTCACCAAAGATGGTAATCATCCATCTCCACTAGGAGTTCACTAAAGATTAATAAGATGGATGCTGTGAGAATCAAGATAAAAGCAAATCACTGACCACTGAGCCAGCATATCAGTCATTTATTGTGGAGGTTATCTGAAAAGAGAACATTCCTCAATAAAATTTAAATCCAGACTGGTTTTCACCTCCGCTCTGTCTGTAAAGTGTCTCTACCTCATTGTCCATTACTGCGGTCTAAGGGGATATGAGATATTGAATTAAGAGTAAGACCCAGGCAAACATATAGTGAAGGTCATAGATGTGGGGGGTAAGTGGGTTATCTCTTTTACTGGTATAGATCGGATTCCAGGCTATGCAGCCACCAGAGAATCCAGTATAATAAGTCTGAAGTGGGGCTCAAGTACTTCTTATTTATGCTCACCAGGAAGTTCTATAGGGCGCAGGGTCGCAGTTGCAGACAGTAGTGAGTTTATACTAAAGAATTTGATCGTGGAAAATTTGGCACTCATTTCTTTTTTTTTTTTTGGTTTTTGGTTTTTCGAGACAGGGTTTCCCTATATAGCCCTGGCTGTCCTGGAACTCACTCTGTAGACCAGGCTAGCCTCAAACTCAGAAATCTACCTGTCTCTGCCTCCCAAGTGCTGGGATTAAAGGCGTGCACCACCACTGCTTGGTGGAACTCATTTCTAATAAGTAAGTATTTTTAAAAATGAGGCACTGTATTAAACAATTAACCTGTTGGTTGATATTTAGTGTAAAATATATTGTGATTAGGCAAAGGCTTGATTTGACAAACAGAACCCCCAAATCCAATGTCACATGCTTACAAAGCAAAATCCAAATAATATGTGTGTGCAACTGCCTTGCCGTGTTTAGTATAACCTTGCCATGTGTGTATAACCGACTCGTGTGTGTGTGTGTGTGTTCAGAAGCCACTTGTTTTATTTTACTTGAAAGCAGTGGTCAAGTGAAAATAGCCTGTTTCACACACATTGACAGATACGTACCTTTTACAATGAAGTTCTGTGCAGAAGTAGATTTGGAAATCATCAGAATTGTGAAGCACATAAAGGAAACAGCATCGTTCTTCAAACTTGGAGATACTGAAACAAACAAACAAAATCCCTACATTATTCAGACAAACATCATCACTCCCACATACCTCTAATGAAAAATAAGCCCTTTTTATATCTAATCCACGACAGCATTACTGCCATTTGCAAACAGCTCTTTCAAGCCTGGTAGTCCCCATACCATAATACAAACATTATGCATAATTCCTACTCATCTCTGCACAACAGGGCTTCTCTGCTGTGCTGAACATGTACATGAGCCACATGTTGGGTTTGGTATGGAAGTAAGTCCTATCTGATATAGCACTGACTCAAGCTGAGATGGAAGCACACATATCAACTAGCTGCCTAGCCTCAGTGATTCTAGGCCTCCGGGAGATGCCTCCAGAGCTAGGAAGAAAGTTCATACAGGTAGCAAAGGCATTGCTCTAGTTGTAGACATTTTAAAGGAGCCAAGCAATGAGGACCAGCACTTGAATTGGGCATAGCAAGTGCGTTACTTTAGAACAACATGAAAACTTTGAGTTTGGTAAGTGAGGCCATGGTGATTTGCACCAGCAGTTGGCCAGTGTTTTCTGTAATGGGCCTGAGAGTAAAATATTTTAGGTTGTATAGGCCAAACACTCAGTTCTGCTATCGGAACTTTGCTTTTAAGCCTTTGCTGCAAATGAGGCTGTGGCTGCTGTCTAACAAAACTTTACTGATTAAAACAAGCAAAGGTCCCTATTTGGTCCATGAACATAACTTCTCAGGTTACCTTTGGATTGTTCACTTTGGAATGCACAGCTTCATTTGGTTCTTGAAAAATGGTCTTCCTATGTGCCTTAGGGTGACTTCACACTCACCACAGAGTCCAGACTGACCCTGAACTCACACTTTTTTTGCCCTGGCCTCCTGAGTACAAGGATTACCTGTGTGTGCTGCCATGCCTAGATTGCATTATTTTTCAAGATTTAAAAAGACTGTAGTCACCATCTAAGGTCAGGTGAGCCCTCTCCCGCCCTAGCTATACTGTTTCTGCTGCAGAGAGAAGACTTTGTGCTTCTCTTCTCTCAATGTGTTTCTAGTAAGCTATCACTCATCTCACACCACACTGCCACTGGTTGATAAAAATGCCTGTTCCTCCTTCCCACATGCCTGCAAATTATTCCAGAGGCCTGCCTAGCTTCACGACCCTTATATCTTTTGCAGACTAGGACTCAATGTGGTACACAGCTGGTGCTCTATAAATGCCACTGGCTTGAGCTGGGCACATGGGTGACGCCAGGGAAACTGCTGACCTAGTTGGGTTGTTCCTTAGTTTGTCACCCTTTCTTTATGGAGGAGGAAGCCAGGTAAAGGTGGCCGTCTTTGAAGTCACAGAGCAGAATTCAAGTTTCCCAACAAGTAAAGCAGAGATCACCACATGGAGGCATGCTGTATATATGCTGTGAGTCACAAGAACTGTAAGGAAGTGCTGCCAGGCCTAATTAACAAGGGCTAATTCATTGTAAAACAGATCTGATGAGGCGAGATGCATAGCAACTACACTGAATGGATTGCTGAAGAAGGCAGCAGTAAGTAAGGAGCACCTTGCTAACGAGTGGTTTAGGGATTGAGTATTAGGAGTGCAAAGCTCTGAGAAGGTATTGATTGGAAACACATGAGTCAGCCGCTTCATCGCACTTGCTTCTATTCGATCACTCGTGAAGTAACAGGTAGTTCTACCGGGGAAACTAACATTATCTGTGACTCACTGCTCTGCCAAACAAAACCAATATGGTCCTTGCAAAAGCAACAGGATATTGCACAACCGGCCTGCAGAAGTCTGTTGTCTCTCATTCCCATCATGCTGGGGACAAACAGTAGTAAACAGAATTTGGTCTGAATGTTGAATGAGTCTAGAAGCCCAGGCTTCTAGATGACAAAGTTTCAAACACTTAACTGCTGACAACGGATTCTGACCGATAACCTTATTTCTAATTCCCAGGAAAGAGCACTTTTTTTTTTTCTTTTCTGAGCTACTGGCATAATGTCAAGATTTTAGAACTGAACCGGTTTGTCACTGTGACCTCACACACATAATTGCATCAACAGTGACCTTGGGGGGAAATTTAATGAATTTCCTATTTGTATGTCATCATTAATTCAAGTTCCAGGGTGTAGTCTGGTAGAAGCCCTGCAGAGCTTGGATCCAGAGATTATTAGTTCCTGGTAACATAAAGGTCAGGGAGTCATCTTCCAGCCTTAACCAATAGGTCAGTCAGCAGGAGAGGCCACTACACAGTTCCCTACTAGCCACATGTTGACTCCAGACCACAGCTCACATTTACTCCGGAGTCACAAGTATGGAGTCAGTTCAAGGATCCATGACGGTGAGGTACTGTTCACAACAGGGCAGAGAGGCTGAGGGCTGAGTCTTTACAACAAAGGAGGATTCCTGAAATGTTTTTCAAATTTAAATTATGACTTAATTTAATAAAACATGCTTTGAATATCCCAGAAGCATGTCTTCTAAGTACCCCAAATGGACCAGGGGAACTTACCTCACGCCCCTGACAGAGGAAGCACTGAAGTTCCACTCATGTATACCTTTCTGAAACACAGGAGAAGATGAGCATCAAGAAATGGAAAAAAAATCATCAAAAGTCATTTAGTTTTATTATTTTTAATAACAAAGTCATTTTCCTGGTGTATAACTCCTCATGAGTAAAGCATCTGACTGAGGTGGCAATTCATCCTGAGCCCACAGGGTTAATCATTTCTGTACTTCAAGACAACAGCTTTCAAAAAGCCTGGAGGAATTACTGTCATTACATTTGAAATCTTAATTTTAGTTGTAACTATTGTGCTTTAATTTTAACTAAAAAATAGAACAAAATAAAACAACAACAAACCAGTGAACGAGGTAAATCCGATTGCTGTAGTGAATAAGCCCACTTTCTTCTGGTCTAACTGCCAATTATTTTCCTCGAATTTGTGTGTTTGAGTACACATGTATGGGGTTTGTAAGCACACATGTGAAATGCATGTGGAGGCCATAGGACAGCCTCACATGTCTTTCCTGACTTCTCTATTGGTGTGGAGCCCTAGGGGCAGCTGTTTCCACCTCTCCAGGTTTGGGAGTGCGGGTATGCACACTACACTCCTGAGGTTTTTCAATGTTGGTTTTGAGAATGGAACTCAACCCACAAGCTTGTATGGAGCATGTTACTGACTGACTTAGCATATATTTTCTGAGAAAGAAAAACAATCTGAATAAAGTCTCTGTAATTACTTCTGAATTACCTTTTCCTTTCTGAAAGACAGACCTTATTTTGTAGCCCACGCTGGCCATGAACTTGTCATTGTCCTGTCTTAGCTTCTTGAGTGCTGGGATTCCAGAAGTTCACTACCACAGCCAGCTTGGAGCTAACTTTAGGTAAAAATTTCAACAAAACCTCTGTGTCTTTTTATTTTTCAGAAATTAACGTTTGTGTGTGTGTGTGTGTGTGTGTGTGTGTGTGTGTGTGTGACTGTATATGCATGTAGAGTGTCCATTACAGTTCAAAGGGATTATTACCTAATTTATGCAAAACTTAAGATGCTAATAATGTTTGGACATAAAATTTTGATTATTATGTGATACATGGGTGACTCATAGAGTCCATGTTTTAAAAACTAAAATTTTATCTCTCAATTATGACTAAAATAGCATAATTATTATCAAATAATTGTTCTTAGATTATTTTCCTTATATAAATGTTTAGGAATTTCAACATCTCCCAAGCTGACATACGTGTCCAGGGTGACCTTTTTACCTTAGCCTACCTAACTGGTCTGCTATGGGACCTGAATGCTAGTTCAGTTAGCCATGCCCTTTACCCTGGCTTTCAATTATTCCTCTTAGCAAAAGCTAATTCCAAGGTGTGCACCTTAACCACCTCTGCTCCCTGACTGAAGAAGGCTGCCAGATACTCTGCCATCAACATCAGTTTGGGGTTTTATTCAGTTTTATATCAGCTTTATTCAGAACAACCACACAGTTTTATTTTTTTTAAATCTTTCCTAAACAGCCCTATAAAAATGAACTGACAGGATTTAGTTTCTTTTTAAAATTGTCAATCAGATGCTGAATCTAACTGACTTCCTTTACCAAGCTCCAGGTGACTGTTCTTTATGCACGAGTCTGACAGCTAACTGGAGTTAACTTACCCATTTCCAGAACTGGCTGTAATAGAAAAGTGGATAATTCTGAACTTACACTAGGCAGTGAAAAATGTCTCAAGTTCGCCTACCAAACCAGTGGCTTTCCATCTTGTGACTGACAACAGTGACAAGTCTTGCTAACTCATACCCATGCTGAAGTCTGCCTAGGATTCTTTAGATGTCTTCCCTGCTTGGTCTCTTCCGCCAATAAGGACAAAACTACCCTAATTATTTTCTTAACTATACCCCCTGTAAAAATTATATAGACATTGAAAAATCCCCAAATGTTTAGCCATGACACACATTAACTGTAATTATAATTAATAGCACGATATGTAAAACAACCACGAAAGGAAACCCTTTCCCACTCCTGTGAGGCTGTGGTCTCAGCCTGGCTAATGAAACAGAGGCTGAGCATTGCGGCTTTGAGGTGATCTAGAACTCTTGGAAAAGCAACTCAAAAACCTCCAATTTCTATTTACAGTTCGTAAATCTTTTCTAGGGCCATGCAACCAGGAGTGCAGACAGGTCCTCTCAAGTTTGATGGAAACTACGCAAAACCAGTGTTTAGTGCACCTTACTGGGATTTGAGCAAATTCTATTATCACAAGATCCAGGGAGGGAGGACAGTGCAGAAAGGCCTGGGAGAGAGCCGAGATGATGACTGGGTCACTAAAGCACTTACCTTGCAAACACAGACTGGAGTTTAACTCCTTAGAACCCATGTAAAAATGCCAGGGAGTGGCAAGCCCCATGCAATCCTATCACTGAGGAGGCAGGGGCAGGAGGATCCCTGAGCCCCAGTAGTCAACCATTCTTCCTACCTGGTGAATGCAAGGCCATTCAGAGACCCTGCCTCAAAAGAAGTGAACAGCACTCATGAAGATGACACCCGAGGTCATCCTCAGCCTTCACACACATGCATATATGCATGTGTACCTGGACACATATATGCATGTATGTGCACACATGCACTTTTGCACACATATGTGAACCAGTAAACACACAAAAATGTGTGTATACATTTAAATTAAAAAAAAAAAAAGAAAGGCCATGTATAAAGTAACCAAGTACTAGGTGGCAGCAAATTAAAAGAGTAGTCTGCAGCCTCCATCCTCAATCTCATATTGGCTTCTCATGTCTGTCAAAATGTCTACATAACCATGTGACCCAGAAACTATGCTGCTGGCCTATGTCTAACTCACATACAATGCAGCCTTACGTCTGCAGCCTGCTACTGAGTTGTTGCCCAAGACCATAGTTGGGATCGGCAGTGAGGAGGAGGGCAGAACAGGAGGGGTGGCATGCAAAGCAGCCACTGAACATGACAAGCACAAACAGCTGTAAAGTGGTACTGAGAGAAACCAAGGAGGGGTTCCTGAATAGACCAGACTGGTCTGGTAGGAAAAGAGCAAACTACTTCCTGGTATCTGGTTCCCCAAAGGCCTAAGCTACAGCCACTGCACTGGAGGAGGCCTGACCTTCACTGCTAGTGGGACTCACCACAGGGAGGCACTGGTGAGCTGCAGAATAAAGTAACAGGGTCCGCAGATGCTGAGCTGGAGTGACTAATTAGCCCCAGCAGACCCCACACCATGGTTACCTATTTGAACCAGCACAAAGCACCATTTTCTAGGAACTGATCCACCTCAAATCCTGTGTCCTGGCCAGGGCAGGAATAAGAACTAGGAGTTAACAATGAAAGTGATAGCAATAATTTAATAACTACACTGTCAGGTCTTACTGCTTACCTGAGGTAACAGGCATTCCTCCTTAGTCCCTCCTTCTCCCTAGCTAACAGTAATGGCAAAGGGTTTTTGGCTTTGTAGTTTTTGGTTCTACTGGGGCAGTGAATTTAGTCTAAACTGGCCATGATAAGTTCAAGTTCCTTACAGGTGGCTGGCTTTTGTTATGAAGGTTTGGGCTGGATTCTCCTTTCTGGGATGCTGTCTGTATGAAGCAATGCCTGCAGTAGCTGTTTACAACCATGAGAAGACAGCCAACAGCTTACAGAGAACTCAGTACAGAACTCTGATACAAAAGTCTCCTCAGAAAGAATCCATCTCTGATTTTCTCAGGGTAGGAAATACCATTTCCTTCTTGGTTGAGCTGTTTAACATGAGAATCATGGCCAAACACATCATAAACGGGAGAGACTGACTACCTGGAACTGGATAAGAATTCTTCACACAGTTTTCTTGGCCTCTCCACATGGCCGCTGGCTAGGAGCTGAGGCAAGAGGACAGGCAGCTCTGGGTGCTACAGGGTCCTTGCCAGCCACACTTGCGATCGAGAAGCCACAGCACAGGCCAAAAACACAGGTTGCTTACATTTCAACCTCAAAAGGGAGAGAGGGATTTCAAATAACCACATAAAATGTCTTGCATGTGGCTTCTCTCGATCTAGGTTTTTCTTCCATGGTACACGCGCAGATTTTCCTCAAGTACTGACTGGAAACAGCAAATGCCCACAGGGAATAGGCACAGGTCTAGGATTCATTAACTGTGCCCATAAAAAAAAGCGGTTCTTGAAGAGTCCGTGGATTTGGACTCAATGAATGTCTATAGAGAATCAACTTGTAACCCAGAGGGACATTGGTCTGCAAAAGCTTACATTTTTGAACATAGACAATTTTACTATGAAGACTGCAGGGGACGGGATACTACAGGTGCAGTCCACGCATGTCAAAAGACAGTGGAAGAAAAAGAGGGATGGCTTAGGGGTTAGAGCACTTGCACAGATCGCAGCCTCAGTTCCCAGCACCTACAGGATGTCTCACAGACATTTGTAATAATAGTTCCTAGGGAGCTGAGACCCTCTTCTGATCTTTGTGGGCACCAAAAATACATACGTTGCACATACATGCATGTAAGCAAAATAAAATACATTTTTTTAAAGGCCACAGAAATATATGGTGGATAACTCACAGCCTAAGCCAGTAACCCTTCCTCACATATTCGTTTATGCTTTAACATATGTATCTCTTAGCATACTGTAAAAAATGTCAGAAAGAATAACGGCATCCATGCCAGACCCACTTCACTTAACAGAGAACCCTTCTCAACAAGCAAACAAAACATCTAGTTGGAAGTAGTTCTGTTTCCAAAAATCTCTGGCTCACTGCTTGCTCTCTCCCTGGCTTCCAAAATCCATTGGCCCTGCACTCATTCTCGGGACCATGCTCATTGCTAATTCTTTTAGCTGCATTCTGTTCCAAGTGTCCCCGGGTAACCTTGCTCTTTCCGGCTAAGCCTCTGAAGATCTCTCCCAGTCTTGTTCTCCGTCCAGTGTAAGACCATGTCTACATCTACTTTAGAGTGTTATAAATAAGGCACTTTACAGCAATATGATTAGAACACACATATAAGCACATTGATTATGCCCAGGGCTGTCTCTGAACAAACTGTGTCTCTGTAGGTACTTGTAGGCCATCAGCTCCAAGTACCCAGGTCCAAAATGGAATTCCTCCAGAATTCACCTTTCCTTCTAAGCACCCTGCTGGTGTTATCACTCTCAGACTTTGAACCACTAACACTCAATATTTCCATTTAGTTTCCTAATGACTGGTTGGGTCATAGATTTTTTTTTCCCTTTTCTTTTTAAACGACCCTCCAGCTCTACAGCTGCAACCCCCTTTTCCTGCACTAAGTTCTCCAACTACTTTATTTCTGGCTGTTTCCTTTAGCAGCCTTTTCCATGCCCCTCCAGGGTCTGAGATTCCCAAGTTCTTATGTCAAGGTGAGACGTCTTGTGGTTACAGTGGTGACATCACTGACACATGCTCTGTGCATTTAGTCCTGTGCTGAGGGATTCCTAGTAATTATCTCATGCACTCTCCTGTAAGTTATTGTCTTTTTTTTTTCATATAAGGAAGCTACGGGAAGAGTTACCCAGGCTGCCCAGATCACCCAGCAAGCAACAGGTAACACCAGCCTTTCCACCTGTGCAGCTTGCTACTCTATGTGCTACTCCTGTCTTTGGTTACTCTATGCTGCCCTCTTGCCAGCCCTTAAACTTGTAAGTAGCTTCAATGGCAACACATGTCCAAATTCTCTTTCCTCGCTCAGGAAACAAGTTGAGATTTTTATACCAACCTACCAACCTGTCTACCAATATATTACACACACACACACACACACACACACCGTCACCACCTCTCTGTGATAAGCCAGAACGGCTTCTTCCCACCCTGAACACCTCAGACTTACATCTGCTTACACTGCCTCCATTGGACTTTGCTCTATTCTTCTGATCTGAGGTCCTTCCTTTCCCTTTTCTCTTCTAGTCCTTCCCACAACCAAAGCCTTTCGGAAGCTTCCCAAAGACATCATGACAGAAGCCACTCGGCGGGGGATGGGTGGGAGGTGCACAGACATCCTTTTGAAAATGGATAACTGTGCACAATCATTGGGTGGTTTCATGCTATCCAGCATGTAGCATGAACGCTACCCCTTACCAGACTTAACATGACCAAATGTATTCGAACAGACAATAACTTAAATTAGCACAAAGAGAATCAGGGTGCTGCAGGGCAGCTGTCCGATGTCTGTGACAGGTGACTTGCTGATGTTTTGATAGAGGTTACAGGACCTGGACATGACTGACATTCGGCTTATCCCAGCTGATGTGAACACCCCAGAGCATGAGTCATTCTTCCTGCATTATAAACATGCTGTATGGCTGCACCTGCTTAGCTTCTGTCACTGGTGGTTCATGCATGGCAATTCTGACAAATCAGGTGGGACACAGCGGAAATCCCAGTTCTTGTCACCCAAGTGCCAAGGATCCAAGGTACCATCCTTTGAAAACTACTATCCCTAGGAGCCCAACTTAGTCATAAAGTGAAGGAAGTAATGATTCTCCATCAGTGACTGCAACCGAGACATTTGGTATGCCCACAGCCCTTCATTAAACTTGTTCTCAACCATGACTGCACATCAGAATCACACAGCAATTTTCCTATCAATGTATGTTGGTGCACTTAGGACCAACTGTGAACACTACACAAAAGATCACAACTTACAGTTATCCTGCAGGCTCACACGATAGGTAGCTCGATGTGTGTCCTAACAGATACTCACAATCTCCTGGATGATACTCTCACATTGTTCAAAGAGTAAAGCCAGGCTAAATTCTCAGGTTTTTGTTTTTGTTTTTTTGGTTTTTCAAGACAGGGTTTCTCTGTGTAGCCCTGGTTGTCCTGGAACTCACCCTGTAGACCAGGCTGGGCTTGAATTCAGAAATCTGCCTGCCTCTGCCACCCACCCTCAAGTGCTGGGATTAAATGTGTGTGCCACCACTGCCTGGCAAATTCTCAGGTCTTAAAAATAGGGGTCAGCCCTAATTTAAAAAAGAAAGCAGTCATTTTATATTTGTTGTTATTATCCTTAAAATATTTGTGGTGGTCACTGGAATAAGGGCTCTGTGATGTGCAGTGTCTACATCACTTCATATCATTTTCAGAACAAAAGTGGGAGAGGGAAGGGTTTCCTTTAGCTCAGACTGGCCTGGAGTTCACCATGCGGCTGAAGGTGACCTTGAATTTATGATCTTTCTGCCTACACCTCCCAAGTCCTGGGATTACAGACCAGCAATAACGTCTGCTCACAACAATCTTTTTAGGTGGATGATGCTGTAATAATGATAATAATAATAAATTATAATTTAAAATAATAATAATAAATACGTTATCATCATCATCTCCTTCCCTTGTACAGATAAGGACAGTGTAGCTTAGGAAATCCATGTTGCACAAGAACAGTGATAAAATCTAAATATATTCAAGTCTATTAACTTATGGTATTACAAACTCACACCGAGTATGTGCAATATTTTTACCTTGTCACCACTGTATACACCTGCAGGTCTCCCTCATTCATCACCACTGTATATATCTGCAGGTTTCCCTCATTCATCATCACTGTATACACCTGCAGGTGTCTCTCTTTAGTTTGTCACCACTGTATACACCTGCAGGTCTCCCTCATTGGTTTATTGCCTCTGAGGGAGGACGTAAGTTCCATGAGAGGAGTTTTGTTTATCTAGTATATAGTGCTTTCCCCAGTGTTTAACACAGTGCCTGGTTTGCCTGGCACAAGGTAAGTGCTCAGCAAACATCTGTTCATGGAACAAATGAATGAGTAAAGCTTAGAGAAAATTAAAAGAGTAAAACAATTATAACAAAAAATCCCTCAAATAAACTCTCCCCAAGACTTCTCTAATATCTGTGCTTTCCTCTGTTGCCTGGGCAGGTCCTGTACGTTTCTGATTTTTAAGAGTAATGATGTGAGAATTAGAGCTGATAAAATCATGCCTATAATCTCACTACTTGATGCTGAGGCAGGAGGATTGAAATTTAAGAGGTCAGCCTAGCCTACATATTGAGACCCTGTCTCAAAACAAACAAACAAACAAAAAACAAAATCTGAATGAACTGCCCGCATGCAAAGGTTGAGCACGTGCCACCAGGAGCAGATAGAGGGTTTATTCTAGCAGGCTTCCTAGAATTAAGAAGCATGACATTTACAACATAAAAGTTAAAATATTCTTTCTTTGGCATAACTTTGAAAAATTACCCCTTGGGGCATAACTTGGTTTACAGTATGAATTTCTAAAAAAAAAAAAGAAATATGCCAATTTTTAGCACACAAGATAGTTATACCATCTAGTCTAAAAATCTGAATTATACCAAGTATATCCTGCTAGTAGATGAAATTCATAACCCCAAATTAGCAATGTTTATCTTCCAGCATGTACTTACGCTGAGATAAACAGCCAAGCTAGTTTTCTTAATTAACACATTTACTGCGGTGAGACCAGAAGGGCAGAGGTCTTATCGTAACTGCACGGCTTACCTTGTCATCAGGGAGAACATGCCAAATAGAGATCGTCTTCTCCTCCACTTCATTGTTGATAGACAGGTAAGAAGGCTGATAGATTTTGGTTGGCTCTAATATTAATACCTAGAAAAAAATAAGGCAAAGAAGTTTGCATGAGAGACAACTACTACCGCAAATCTAACACCATGTGGAAGAGGCTACAGGTTCAACTGCTGTAGATATTGTCTTAATTTCGGATGAAGGCCCAGGATCTCCTGAGTGGTTTGTGATATAGAGTTATCCCAAGGCCCAGTTTTTACTGCTAATGGACTCTAAGTCATATTTCAAGTTTCTTAGTTCAGTTATTCCAGGAGAACATAATAATTGTAAAAAGCTTCATGCTGATGACTACGGCTCTCATAAGACAGATGATCACTCATTGCAAGTTCAAAGCCAGTCTAAGCTACACAGTGAGTTCCAGGTCAGCTTAGGCTATAACCCAAGACACACTTCATTCCCAAAATTTAGATGGATCATCATGTATTACAAATGCTATTTCTATTAAAGTAAATGTATCAAAATGGCAGAAACATGATAAAGCATTTCTGTACACCCCAAAGGTTCTATTTCTAGAAGAGGAATTTGAGATTCTCTACTGTCACACTCTGTCATAAGGAGGTGGAAGAATGGTTCTTGTAGCCATGAGAATGTATTTATAAATAATTTGGGATTTTGTTGGAAGAGGTTTATATATAAACCAAAGAATCAGATATGGCTATGTGAAATAATAAAAAAAAATCTTTGCTTGCCTTCGAGATAAAACTGGATTCTTCAATAAGAGATATAAAATTTTCTCATATTTCAGAGATGTCCGAAATAGATGTTTGAATAGATCCTTAAAGTTAATTTTTTTTTTAAAAAAAAAATTGAGACAGGGTTGTAGGTATCCCAGGCTGACTTTGAACTTTGACCTTTTGATCATTTGACTCCACCTTCCAGGTAGAGCACATGTTTGCACCACTGTTTGGGTGGTGCTGGGGACTGAACCAGGAACTTGTGCATACTAGGCAAGCATTTTACCAACTGGGCTTCATCTCTAGCCCCAAGACCTATTTTTTTTTAAGGCAGTCAAGAATGTTTAAAAAGAAAAAAGAAAAGGCATTACTTCATTACGGAGAAACTGGAAGGGTTCTTTGTACTCTGCTGGGTAAAGTTACTTTCAGAAGTAATCATAAATCAAGCAGGCTTATCAGATAAAACTGGAGAGAAAAGTCCTTCCTAGAGCTCTGTCATCAAGAAAAGAACAGATTCCCAAATGCATTAAAACATGTGATGCAGTCTGAGCAAGGAGGGACAAGAATATGGGTCAGAAAACTGGTTCCTGGCCACATACCAGGAATCCAAAACAGTCATTTTTCCTCCAAATTTACTATTACAGAACACTTATGTAACATTATGTACATAGAAAGGGGGCAGGAAAACCTCCAAATTTCCCTTTACCCTGAGAACAACAACAACAACAAAAAAAACCTCACAATGATGCCCGAGCTCTGACTCAGGACCACACCCCTTAGCTGGTGAACCAAGTCTCCAATTCCAGTCAGTCAAGTTCAGTGCTATTAAGACTGAAGACTGATTTTCAACCACCAGTATAGAAATGGTGCTGTCTGGGACCTGGGTGGAAGAGGGGAGGGAGAAAGTGGAGTAGAATCAGGTGTGGAGAGAGACAGGAGAGAGGCCCAGAGGGCAGGAGAATGACTTGAAATCTGCAGCTTCTTGGGTAGTGGGGATCTCTAGGACATCCCAGAGACCTGGGATGGGGGAAGCTCCTACGACTCAATGTGGGTGACTTTAGCTGAAATGCCCAATGGAACCTGAAAAGACCACCTCCAATAGCCAGACAGGACTCCAGTGGAAGAATGAGGACACCAACTCACCCACAAAACCTTTAACCCAAAATTTGTCCTGTCTAAAAGAAATACAGGGACAAAGATGGAGCAGAGACAGATCTATCCCATGGGTGGGCACCAATCCCTGACACTATTACTGATGCTATGTTGTGTTGCAGACAGGAGCCTAGCATGGCTGTCCTCTGAGAAGCTCTACCCAATAGCTGACAGACAGACCCATAGCCAAGCACCGGACAGAGGTCGAGACCCCTATTGAAACAGTTAAAGGACAGATTGAAGAAACGGAAGGGAATGGCAACCCCACAGGAAGACCAAGAAAATCAACTAACTCAAACCCCTGGGAGCTCCCAGAGACTGAGCCACCATCCATAGAGCATACACAGGCCGGTCAGAGACCCCCAGCACATATGTAGCAGAGGACTGCCTTGTCAGTTCTCAGTGGGAGAGGATATGCCTAGTCCTGTAGAGACTAGATGTCCCAGGGTTGGAGGAAGGACCCAGGAAAAGGGCCACCCTCTCAAAGACAAAAAGGAGATTATGGGGGGGGTACTCTGTGAGGGGGAGCAGGAGGGAGGGCAGCATTTGGGATCTAAGTAAATATGATAATTAATAAAAATAAGAAATGGTGCTGTCATATCTGAACAACCCAGAGTTTAAGATACTTAAACAAGTAATAGAGAACAAAAGATCTGGGGATCCCAAAAGATCTTGCAAGGTTTCTTCACCAACCAATGAGATTCCACTGTTCCCCAAATCTACGCACACATTATTTCAGAAAAGTAAGGGCTCAGATGAACTCTCTCTCCTGTTGAACTATGCCTTTATTGTCACCACAAATGTTCCTAATAGATAAACTCTGAACTATGTGTTCTTAACTTGGGACAGGGAACAAAACAAGGTTATTGTTGTCTGAAGTTCTCAGAGCCCTGCAGTCTGCCCTTGAAATGACGGAACAGGAGGCGCCATAAGATAAGCACAGAAGGGCTGAGGAATGGAGGGGAGGAGAGGAAGGAGGAAAAGAAGGGAATAGAGGTGAGAAGAGGAGGAAGGGAAGGGGTGAGTAAGGAGGAGACAGGGGGCAGGGTAGAAGGATCAATCAAGGAGGTAGCTGGCACCCGACCTAGCTCCCATGAGGTGTGAACACTGGCTTTCACTCCAGCTCACATTACAGTGACCATGGATGTCACTTATCTGAGCAAGGCAAGGTCAACTGGATAGCTATTAGCAACCAGTGCAAATCTACATCTCTAGAGAGCCACAGAGCACCAGACCCCCTCTCCATCTGGATCCAGACATCAGTAGATGGTCTCCAGTGACCCCGCCCTTGGAGTGCAAGGTGAAAAGCAAATCTCTTCCAACCCCAAGAGGAGGTCAGGAAAGGGAATAAAGTAGACTGAGCATAAAGAAACATGGCCATCCAAATCAGTTCCCAGACTTTCCGCCATCTTTGACCATGCCTGGTTTTGTTTTTTGATTCTTGGATGACAAGAAGTTATGAGAATGAGGTAAATAGAAACAATCCAGTATACAGCTTCTCATGTGGTCTTTTCTGGGTTTTAGTTACACCAACTTTTAAATGGACAATGTGACCATCAAGACCTAATCGAGACCACCAAAGCCCCCAAGCATGAGCCACAGAAGATGCTACCATGAGGACAAGATATTACAGTGACCGACACGGCACCAGAAGGCTTCTTTCCCTCTGTGAAGGAACATATTGGCCAATTCGAGACACAGTGACAACTTATTACCTAAATATGTATGTGTGCATGTATACATACGTATGTACATCTCTCTTCCCCAACCATCTCTGCTATTTTATGATTTACTTTACCCAGGAGTATGTATTTTTTACATATTTTTTGTCGTGTGTATTTTTTACATTTGCCATATGTTTTCCTTATTTCTGCATCAATATATTTGCACTTTCTGCAATGCTTATTCATATATGCAGATATAGGAAAACAGACGTGATTAATTGAAAGTAATTTTATAGAATTAGGAACTTCCTGGTAGATTTAGGCTTTCTGGAATTAATACAAAATAAGGTGTAAGAAAGTTCAACTAGCTAGGCATAGTGATGCACTCTTGCTCTGGAGGTTGAGGCGGATGCAGTTTGAGACCAGCATGATCAACTTGGTAAGAACTTGTCTCAAAAAATAAAGAGCAAACGAATAAATAAGCTGAGGTGTAGGTCAGTAGTAGAGAGAGGAGGGGCGGGGTCAGTGGTGGAGAGAGGAGGGGCGGGGTCAGTGGTGGAGAGAGGAGGGTGTGGGATTATTTAGAGTGTCTGACCTACATTTTCAAGGCCCTGGGTAAAGTAAGAATTAGAAAACTGCAATTTTGAACTCGTGTAACAGCAAAACATGGGAAAGCAATTTTGAGTTTTCAAGTTATGCATTCTGGAGTAGGAGTGAATGAAACAAGCACAAAACACTCTATTTTAGTCTCTTCAAAAACAGACAGCCACAAATAAGGCATGAGGTTTCAAGAAGAAATGGGATTGCTGCAAAAGCAAACGATAAACAAGTCTGCAAGATAAAGTAACGTGTGCACACTGATGTAATGTGTGCACAATAACGTAACGTGTGCACAAGAATGTAATGTGTGCACGATAATGTAACGTGT